GCCATGTGGAGGAAGGTCAGGTTACAGGTTCTAGTCCGGATACCCTTTACTGCAATAGAAAATAAATTTGTAAATACATTATTGCAAAGGCTTTATTGATTTTTGTTATTTGGAAATATCTATATTGAACACTTGCAAAAGTTTCTTTTTGTTTTTGATGTAGTGATAACTTTGAAGAGTACTGTGTATCTCATTAATAAATCCAAATGTTACTTTGGAAAATTAAGAAATTCCTTGGAGGAGAGAGGAGAGCCCTTGTAACGTAGGTCCTGAGGATGAACTACCATAGCACTAATCTTTTAAATAAAAAGTAGAGGGAGCTCGTTTTATATTCTTCTACTTCATTATATTGAAATGAGTCAATATTCGATGCAGAGTGAAGTGAACCAGCTATGGTAGTGGAGGACGCAGGACACTCACATGAACATGAGTGGCTTTCCTGTGTTTCAGTGGTGGTCTTATGTATGCAAAAAGCATATTTTTTCTATTTACGGTGGGTGAAGGAACACGGGAGGAAGACTTCTTTTTGACTCTGTGCCGGTAGAACAATAAAGGTTGCTCTGCTTTTAGCTGGTTTGTTTGTTTGTTTTAATATGTTAAAGGCATATGTGGTAGGCTTTAAGTACCTCTTAAGAAATCTACAGAAGTTGGACATTCCAGTTTACATCCATTTAATAGTGGTAAAGTACTGCTTTCTTGGCATTGTCACCATCATGTCTCCTTTTGTTGATGATGGTGTTTAAGATGAATGATAAATTCTTGTCCTAAAATTACAAATAAGCATGAGGCAAAATTTCAGACGTCTTAACCATGAGAGATGATGACTTATTTTTGGTATCGCTAGTTAACTTTTTAACAAGTATCTAGCCAGTGCCTTGAGTGTTCCTTCTGTGGATTATGAGCATAGAATGTAAAGATTATGCAGCCAGAATAGCAAGCAGTCACGTATCTATCTGGGTGCTTTTAAGTGGGAACATGATATATTAAACATGGTATTTTCAGAGCATATTGCTATGCAACACTAATTTTGTGCAAATAATTTTGGTTCATTTCTTAAGTGGCCTATATTAAAAACAGAATTAACCGATTACGCATTTTGTCAGATTGGTCAAACCATTGCGCAACAACTTATCATCAAGATGGAGCATGGACCTACTTCACACAGATAATATATTGTTCTCCCTGGGTTTCCTACATCTTCGCAGTAGCCTGTTTTCATACAGTATGGGCTTCATTGTGGCTAACTGTTCAGCTTTATCAGGTATTCTTTTGCTTCAGTTTATGCTCCTCTCTTAAAAGAGTCATCAGATTAAAGCTTTCCCTAGATGATTTGCTCCTATCAACATTTTTTGCTTTCCTGCTTTCCTTCACTAATGAATGTCACATCTAGGTGCTTTTCTTAAATCTCAGGGCAGTCCTTGAAGTTTCACGGGTACTGGTGCGCTCAGCATTCCCCTGTTAAACGCAGGATCACAGTCTGCAAATCACTCCTATAACTGAGTTCTGGATTTACTACTTACCAAAAATCCCAAACTGATAAAAAGGTGTATTTAAAGGCAAGATACTTACTTGACTGATAGAACTGGTATTACTGCCCCCAAAATGGCACAAAAGCTCAATAGCACAATTAGTCCTGAATTGAAAATTCTACGGCAGAGCTCAGCAGTGTGTCTTTAGACTGCATTAAATCCCATTGCTACAATAAAAATAGATGACCTCGATTTTTTTTTTCCTGATGAGGACTGTCAGATTTCTTGTTTATGTTTTTCTCAGGGAGAGCTTGGCTATGCAAACAAGATTGAGAAGGCTGTCTTAAAACATCTAGGAAACAACTTGTTTAGCAGCTTTTAGGAAAGATTATGAAAGTGTGTTAAGCGTATTGAGCTAAAGACTTGTTTTACATATTGCTAGGAAAAAAAAATCCACAATTTTAAATGTGTGCTGCTAGATTTCTGTAATGGCCAAGACACTGAGATGTCATCCTGGGGAAAAAATGATCTAGGTAGGATATCTACAGTTAACTGCGGTGTTTTGTACACAGTCATTTGTAAATGTACTGTTTTATGATATTTAGCATGTTATTCAGCAAAACAAACTTGCAGCCATTTATAAGGGCTTATAAGATTTATGCTGATTAAAAAAATCAGAAAATGGAAAAAGGAATAGGTAAGCAAAAATGCAGAAAAACCCCATAAATTTCATTGTGAAATCTGGTGAAAGAAGACACGGAATAAAGAAAATGAAAAAGTTATTGTTGAGTGTCTGACATCTACTTCATCTTTTCTGCTAAGCTACTTTTGTCTTTTTTGGGGCATCTTTTTCTACCAATTTGTGTGGTAGCATATGGACAAAATCTGAGGAGACAGATGCTTAACTGCCCTAGCTCTTGTACTTCTATGGACATCTTATAGAAGTACAGTCTTTGCAGCCATCTCAGTTAAGCCTGCCTTCTCAGTGGAATCGTTAGTGTTGCAGCTTGCTGGGTTCTGTTTTAGTCTAAGTAACTAATGACCCAAAGGTATGTTTTTAAATGTCATGGCAGTAGTTACTGATTTGTTAGGTATGGCCAACCTCTTCCCCTCCCTCCCTTCTCATAGTACCTTTTGGTATCAGCAGAATCTTTATTTGTGATGTTCGTGTTTTATTCATTACTTACATTTTCCTCCCTGTAAGATTGCGTTCTTGGGACTGACCTCGCATGAGAGAATGAACCTCCTGATGCAAAGAAAATCTTCTAAGCATCCTGTTTCACTCAGGAGAACTCCATACAAGTGAGTATTCATGAAGTGTTTTTTAAACACATATCTCTTCAGTACTCATTTGCTTCACTACTTCAGAAATGTGAAAAAATGGTGGTCTGTGGATGTGCTAGTCATGCCTGTTATGAGTTGTGCTAAGAGGAGGAAATGGACCTCATTTTTCTTGCTGAGAATTTCCTTTGCCTTAGGAAATATAGAGTCAGCATAAGAACTACTGGGGTTCTTTCTGCATGGCTGTGTATATAGGAAAAAGATGTGCCAAAATCGGTCCATAGCATTAATCAGTAGACACTGCTTTGGGGGTGAAGGGGTGCTGCCCATCAATTTATTCATCAACCTCTGTAGGTTCAGAGGGAAAATCAAGGTACAAACTGGCCCCTTTCTGACTTCTCTTGCAGTATTTAGCTCAATAGAGAAATTATTACCAAGGTTTCCCTGTTACATTAGAACTCCATGTTTCCTCGTGTGTGTTAACAGACAAGGTCTTACTAACTTTCAGATACTTGAGTTGAACCTAGTCTGCTCAGACTCTTTAATGTAACACAGGTTGTGAAAGGTCAACAAGGGAATAATGCTCAATAGAGAACTGTTCATAGGTTTCTTCTCCCAGAGCTGTCTTCATTGACAACCTTATATCTTAAGTACTGTCTCATGGTGAATGTGTATTTTTGGTGCTTGCAGTCTTGTTTTCTCAGGTGTATTAACGGATATTTCTTTCCTTTTCAGTCTTGGATGCTTCCAGAATCTTGCAGACTTTTTTCAGTGCAGTTGCTTTGGTATGTTCAAACCCAATGTAGTTGACTGGACCAAGCAATACAACGTTTTTCATCTGGCAAAGGAGAAAAATGTTCATTCTGTATGAATTTTTGCTTAATTTCTAAAACTGTTGAGCTGAAAGCTAAATAAAACTGGATATTTGTTAATTTTTAAAAATTCTTGTAAGTTACTCATTTTTATTATTGTTTCAAATATTAAACCTATCTTGCATAAGCTACAGCAGGTTTATATATGGAACAACCACTGTATGTTTTTGTATATACAGTTTGAGCTGAAATTTCATGTGATGAGATGACGCTAAGAATATATTTTTTTGAAGGTAAGTTTTTTGGGGCAGAATTTCAAAACCTTGTTGGTACCCCTTGCTTTATTTTGCAGATAACAAAAGAAAATTACATTTGAAAATTAAGGGGAATGTTCATATTTTAAAAAATTATTATTACAATTACCTTGTAATATTATTGCTTACATTATTAAGTCTATGCATTTGGAGGGTTTGCATGTAATAAAATAGAGCTTTCGTGCTTCTCAGTGTATTTTTTACAGACTGAAATAGGTTCAAGGGATATGTGACCAGTGAGGTATTTAAGAACAGGTGAGCACAAAACCGTAAGAAAAAGCCTGACTCTCTGCCTTATGTTTTGCATGTATATAATGCCCTGTTAGTGTATGAAAGTGGGTAAATTGATGGAAAATAGCAACATATACAAAAAGAGGGAATTATTCCTAGTGGTCAAGCATGTTCCCAAGGAAAGGCTACAGTGACAGTCTGGAGTGGCCAGCTGGGCAGTGTGTTTTTGAATATAAGTCAAAGTAGGTAATAATGAAAACCAGCAGGGAAACGGATCAAAATCAGAAAACTAAAGTTAAATACCATCTAGAACTGACAACGTCAGGGTAAAGTAGTGTAATGAAACAGAATTCTTGCAGTTAAGAAGTGGGGGATTCCATGCATGTCAGTGAAACGCATTTATCTGAGTGATTGTCGCACATAAAACACAGGCAAATTCAAGTCAAAATACTGTGAGGCAATATCGGTACTTTATTGTAGCTTGAAAACATACAATAACAAAACTTACAACACTGTATTCTAAGCAAATGTTGTTTTTCTTCAGAAGTATCTCCCTTTGAGAGAAGGAATTAAAAATCCTTTTAAATTGTCTCAAAGTTAATAACATCTACTCTGCCATAACACAAAATGTCAAAAAGTTCAAAATGCCACTAGGAGATGGGTAGAAATACAGATGGCATGACATTCCACATGACAAAGGAAAATGCAGCTGGAACTGGAACGCCTGACCCTCGTGCTCCATAAGGTATCTCTTCTCTATCTGAATGGGACAGCGTGCCGATCTTTACCGTTCCAGTCTAAACTGTGGTAAATACTAGTTTAAGAAGCAATAATGTTCCATGAGGTTTTTGTCTTTATTTACTGTAAAACAAACATGAATCTAGCTTTCTCACTGTACCTTTTTAAGCTATTCTAAGGATTTCGTAAGATACAAGCCCACAAGTTTTTTCCTGCAAAGTGGAAAATATTAAACAAATGCCCTAGGTTCTTAGCAATATGTGATGTTTAATGTTTTATTTGACAACTATCATTTGGTGACATCAATAGTAGTTTGAGTCTGTGGCATCCCTTTCTTCTCATTCGCACTCTTTCTTCTCCACTTGAGTGAGGCCACCGAACCCAATTCCTTTGGGACCAAAATTTTTTGCATAGCAGACTGCAAAAGAAGGAGGGAGGTAAATGGTATTCTGAACGTTTTCATAGAGAAGTAAATGACTTTTGGTTTTAGTACCAAAACTAAACTTCCAAACTTAAGTTAACAAAAGGAAGGAAATCTGAATAGCATCTTTCTCAGAAGTATCGACAGGTTCTAATAGTGTAACTGGCATCACGTATTTGAGTTAAGCAAAAATCACATCTCAGAAAAAGTTAAGAAACAGTATGTATTTCAAGATCTATGTAATGTTTTCATTAAAGCTACTTCCTGTCTGAAAATACTCAGTAAAACTTGGTCTGTATGAGTAATACAGACTGAGGAATATGTCAGAGATTTTCAAAGGAGGTTAAAAGAACTAGAGCGTAGTCCAGAAACTGTTGATGGTAGCTTAAACCATTCCATTTTAACTCTGTATTGCTAAGTGTGTGTTGTAGTTATTTATCACAACCCTGCTAAGGTAGTGGTAATGGTCAGCATGTTTATCCAAATACGCCAATTTAATCACTTGCAGTTGCCAGACTGCGCCTAGAGTCACAGAACTTAAGTATTCTTCTTGAGGATTCTCTGTGAAGTTTAGCCTAACATGTAAAAACCTTGCGTATTTTTCACTTCAAGCTCTTTCTAAGAGTCAAGTGAAGCCCTGTGAACTTTCTTGATCTGAGAAGAACATCTGGGTGTATAATTTGGCATGAATGCACTATCTTCTGCACTACCAATATAGTGAAAATACCGTTTAATTCTTGCTGGGAAGAAGTCCAGTGAGGACCATGACCTTGGAAGATTTGTATCTTTGTGGTTTGGCGTTCGTTGCTGTTGTTTGGTTTCAGTTTTTTAGAGTGAGAGAGATTGTGCGGGTACAAGAATCTTCCCAGTAGATATGGCCAGTGTTCCTGTTAGAAGGTCCGAGAGGATGTCATATTTGTAGAAAAATCACGACTTTAAAATTTGTTAATAGTAGAAGATGCAACTGCAATGTTACCATAGCTCTTTCCTTCGCTTTCAGAAAGTTGTTTAAAAAGATAAAGTGAAATTTCATGAAGCTGTTAAGCATGAAACAAGGTAAATCATGATGGCAATAATAGCTCTGAAAAAAGTAATCTTAGATGGACTCCATAACCCAGTTCAGCTCATTACGATTCTTACCTTTACAGTAGAGCTCTCCATCTTTGTCTGTAACGTTGGTAGATTCTAAACTCTTCCCGCAAATAGCGCAGCGGAAGCACGTCTTATGCCAAGGCTGGAGAAGTTAAGACAATTCATTGTATGTAACAGAAAGTGCACAGCTGGCAGGTAGAAGAAACAAAGGACTGTCGCTTTTGTGGTGTGAAAGGTTAAAATTGTTTTGTTGGTCTGGTGGCTCCCATTTTTTGATTAGTCTTTTTTTCAATTACTTCCTTATCCGATATCAAGACCTTACCTAGTGCCTTTGTCATTAACGGAGGCCTAGTAAAAAGCAGGGAGCTTTTTGTTTAGGGCATCTCTTCCACGTGCAGAGATAATATTCTAGTGAGAGTTCCTAGAGCAGAGAGCTAGCATGTCGTGTGAGACAGGCTTTTGTTTTTCTAGTCACAGGATCTCCTTAATATGTCTGCAATTCCCACTACGAATAAATGTTTCAATTATAAATATCCCCGGAGCTGGTGGTAGAGCAACAAGTGGTGGAAGAGCCTGCCTGTGCAGTAGCCAGGAGTCGTTCTTCAGACATCAAGATGCAAAAAGTTGAAGGCAGCTTATGAAAAGCAGGTGGTTTTAAAGCTGAAAGTATATCACATGCTCTAGCAATTTTCTAACTCATCCTCATGTGTTCTTCATCGAGGCTATGACTAAAAGTTTAAAAGACCAAGGACCTGTTAGCTGCAGTTTATCACTATTGTAAGAGTATATTGTGTTTCAAGGGCTGTAGTAATTACTTACTTTTCCTCCCCCCATGATCTTCTCTGCAGCATACACCGATTTGCCACAGCGGGGACATTTATCCACATCTACCATCTTTTTGGCAAACTTTGAAGGATTAGTTGGTGTAGAAGGGCGAGCAGACTTTGGTGACCCCCTAGAACAGAAGGTTTTGGTGTTTCAAAATACTGCTTAAAATGCTGTCTTCATTCCAGAAATTTCATGATTTTTTGGTAAGAGATAAAAAAAATACTCAATTAGCGGTCTTAGACATGCAAAAGGGGAGAAGAAAAGAGAAAATGAAAGTATTCAACTGAATTCTGCATTGTGTGGTTGAAAAGCCGATACCGTAACTGCTGATGTTGCCTGTTTTGGGCTGAGTAACATGGAGCTGACAGCAGCCGTGTGCAGAAAACATTATATTTAATGAAAAGTGAAAGTAAAAAATATTGTTGTTTTATTGAGAGGCAAGAGGGAAAACACAAGCAAAAGACCTCTCTGTTCCTTGTAGCGGGCGATCTGCTGGTTCTCAGTAGTGAACAGCGGGGGGGAGAAACCTCTTTAAATTTTGCATGCGGCTGTTTCATCAGTCAGCGTAACATTGGGACAGGGGCTACGGTTCTTAGCTGTCCTGGGGTCAAAAGCACATCAGAAAAGTAGCTTTGCTTTGTATTTCTGGACTTTGTGCTCGATGTCTTTGTGCTAGCTTAAAGCCTTTCACAGAATGACTTTTGAATTATCGGGTTGTTGGACTGCAACAGGTCATTAAATCTACAGGATGTGACAGCTTTTGATACAGGACTCTGCCCGGAATGGATGCAGATCTTACCAGGAGCTAGAGTTACATACATTATTTAAGCTTTTACTTCCTGCACAGCACATCGGTTAATTGGTTTCCTTATAGTAATACCAGAAGAAAGCATTGTTGATTTGGAAATGTGCAGCTTTGAGAATCATAGAAAAAGGCTATAAAAATGCACTGTCGGAGATAATTATGTGCAGCGGAGGCTTTGGGGAGTTGCTGTCCCATCAGAATTCCTTTGTTCAAACATAGTCTCGGTGTGTTTGTGAGTGTTACTCGAGCCACAGGGAGGATTTGGAAACGTTATTTCTCCCATTGAGAGAAGAGTTAACAGCATGTGGTAGTGTGATTATTTCTCTAACAGGAAAACCGAACTGTATTTTAGCCTCGGATAGGAGAAAAAAAAAAAAAAAGCATTCTCATGTTCTATGGTGAATGTGACTTGACCACTGTGCTACTAATGGCAAATTACAATTGCAGTGAATGTTTACATCTGTGGTGGCCGTGTAAAAGCTGCTTCTGCAGATTAATTGCCCGTCGGAGGAGGAGATAATTTATAAAGAAGGCTTAAAAGAGACTGAATGTCATTAAAAACTGGTAAATTACTGTGTCCGCTGAAGGACAGGTTGTAGGAAAGTCTGCTCTGCTCCTTACGCTAGATGTTGTTATGGAAACAGAATAAAACCTCTCAAATTCCACACCAAATGACAAGTAGTACCAGAAAAGGTGCTGGCGGTAGGATTTAACTCACTGTTGCAGATGCAAGCCCAGATGGTCACCAGTGTCGGTGCTGAGACACCCTGCCCCTTGTCCGAAGCCAATGCCTTTGGGACCGTATTTTCTCCCGTAACAAGTTTTGCAGTAGATCTCAGACTCGTGAGCGGCCACAGTGGTGCTGTCCAGAGCTTTTCTGCAAGCCACTGAAAACGGGAAGAGAGAGGCGCGTATAAACCTTTGGGTTTTCAAATTTGAAGTTGTGTGGTTTGGAATAATTACAATTACTGTTTGCCTTTTCCTATATTTTTAAGGATAAAGGAAGGTGTTAGCCTGTAGCCAGTATAAAACTTCCCTGGGCTGTTGCTAGCGATGTTGTGTGTGCACACAAGATGCTCTTCTTTTGCCACTTTGAAGTTATACAAGTTGCCTTTCGATAGATGCTGTTATGGTCGAAGGTAGACTTGCAGGTGAACATGATCCAGTTTCTGTATATTAATATGCAGAGGGCTTGGCAGTGAGCTGCACAAAAGCCACTGCTGCCATCCTGAGGGAAAAGTAACAAGAGTGATGCCTGACATTTTTAGTTAAGGACTTCTGGACGCTGCAATTGCAACAAAATTACAGAAAAATTATCCCCCCAAAATTGAGAAAAAATTACAGCCCGAAGAAAATCATGGGCTTTTTGGGACAACTTGTCTAGATCTGTGAAGCTTAAGATGGATTGAAGATCATAATCTTAAATTCCCAAATCATGTTTAAAAAAAAAAAAAAAAAAAAAAAAAGTTGCCGGTGGGTGTTGTCTCTGCTCTGCATCTGCACCTTTCAAAATCGTCACTCGGGCTCGGCAGCGGCCCTCTCACCTCAGCCCACGCTCTTTCCTCGTGGCGTGTTTCTAAAAGAGGATATCATGTCCGCACCGTGTCCAGACAGAGGCAAGCAGGACGAGGTTTTTATTTATCTAGTCACTTTTGTTTGAGCTGTAGCACGTGGCGAAGCGATGATCCCACGTAACCGGTCATCTCGGCTCTGTCAGGCTTGCTCCGGGAAGGCAAGAGCGTGGCTACAGCCCATCCAAAGCCAGAGACCTCCTCTAGTCACGTTCGCTACGGAGAAATACCGCTTGGCTCGGCTCGCCAGGAAAGGTCTGGAGACTTTTGGACAGAAGGTGCCATGGGGACGCCCGACACGCATAACGGGTACAAGTCATACCCTCTATGGCACCGCTAAAAACCGAGCCTCAGCGTGGAAGGACCAGGACTTAACGAGTGCGAACAGCTGCTTGTCTGGGGATCTCGGCCAGCAAGTATCCATGCTTTGAGAAACACGAGCTGCGCCTAGAGCTAACGAGCGTTGCTGAGGCTGGTCTCGCGCGTGGTTATTCTCATCGAGTGGCCGTGGAAGCTAGATTACTCCCTCCCCAGTTCTTTGTTCATCTGAAACATGGTCAGTGTTGAGAGACTAAGCTCTGTTGCCGGTGTGGTGGATCTCCTTGTGACTTACGCACGGAAGCTGGACAGTAACGAATGGAAAAAAAAATAGTAGCTGCACTCCTCATCTGCTTGGTGACTGCGTATGCTGCACTGTTTCGGGAACTCGGCGTGAGACAGCCCCCACCCCACCGAGAGAGGATGAAGCTTTCCATTCTGAGTGGCTATGTAAAAAAAAAAAATCAAAAAAAAATAAAAAAAAAAAATCAATGTTTTGTAATAGCTTAAACTAAAATTTAAACACTTCTTACAAATTGCTGAGTGTGTCAACAGTGGTTGATGGCGGTGGGGTAGAATGGGAAAAACTTTCTCGACAACTTCCTTGGACAAGTGCGTGCCCCACCGAGGGCGTCCCAGTCACGCGTGGGCTGTTGACAGCTCGGAGAGGAAAGTTGCCTAGCTCATGTAAGCGACAGAAACCTGTGAAACACGCAGGCGCTGACAGTGGTTGGAAGTTCAAGCTCTCAAAGAGCTAGCAGAGTGTTTGATTAGTCCCTGCTCCCTCTGTGTTTATTCTAACCATCCTGCTGTGAGTCTTAAAGTTCATCCGCATCAGAATTAAAGCCGAGGCTGGAACCTCCGCGGCTTTAGTTCTGTCGCCGTACTGCGCAGGGGAGGAAGTCGGTTGCAAGGACCTTTATAGTTAATGGAAATAAAATAAGGGGCTTCTGTGTATGTGTGGACCCGATCTTGTCGTACTCCAGTCTCTTCTGCTTTGAGACGATAAGTACGTTGGCAGAGGGAGTTAAGGGATGATGGAAACTCTAGCAGTAGATAAAGTGTGTCTATTTCTGGCCCCTTAGGGATAGGGTATCAATTCGCCGCGACAGATGGAGCAAAAGCCCTTCAAGTGCTATTGTTGGAATAACTTTGGGAGCTGTCATCCGCCAGCAGACACCGTTCGTGAGCCGGCACAAAGAGGTTTCGGGCTGATGGCGGGAGATCCTGCCAAATGTCCGTCGCAGCAGCGCTTGAAGTAAGACCCGGCGGGGGAACAAGGTAGGTAAAGAGCAACCTGCACGGGAAGAAGGGTTTGTTGGAAAGAAGCTGCTCTCTCATAATGTTTCTAGGGGAAAAAAACTATGGAGTGGGGAGACTGTGATTTATCATTTAGCTTGTCTGGTTTTTACTCTGTTAACAGGTTGGTTTGCATTGTTTGGAAATATGCCCAAACTGCATATTTCGGTCAAAAAATACTGGTGTGTCTTATGTGTCTGGTCTAATATAATATATAAAAAATGTTTTAACTGTATTTGATAGCAAAAATATATAAAAGCTCAATTAAATAGGTTAACTGTTTCCATAGCTGAGATTAGCTCTTCTGTTGAGAAATGAAATCCTGTAATTGGTTCATTGAAAAGCCCGTGAACATGATACATGATACTGAGTCGTCCTGAGCTGCTGATTAGCGTGTGTGAATCATGGGAGAAGTAAAGCCAATTAACATACCTCTCATATGCCAGCTGGGCTTAGATGCATCTTTACTTTTTTGACCTTAAATATACTTCTGCTGGGAATACTTTTTTTAGTATCTAACCTATTAATAATTTTGGTCAGACTTACGAGTACAAGAGGCAAAGAAAACAAACAAAAAACTCCACCCCAACCAACCAAAATAAACCAAAAAAACCCAAACCACAACAAACCTAACAGCAGAGATAACGGATGTTTGTTGTTTGTCATGAATCATTTAAAAAAAAAAAAAATCAGTTATGCTAAGAATGAAGCTTAAACTTGTTCTGATACTAGGTAGGAGAGAAGTAGTATTAACTGTGCGCTATTAGGACAGCAATTTATTTTTATTAGACACTGGAGCATCTACTCATTTGTCATCTCCTGCTGTATTGTTTTCTAGCATTTGCTAAAGCACAAGCGTCGTTAAAGCTTTTCTCACAATTCATGTCCCTCTCCCCACAGTTTCTCTGCTATCTAGTATTAATTGTTATAGGCAGCACATGGAAGCAATAAAATGTCTCTAGTTTTCACAAAACTGCGATTTTCACCCTCCTGTAAGAATTGGCCGGAGGTTGTCAATTAACTTAAAACTTTTTGAGGGAATTCTTTCAGTCCTTTTGGCATCGCTTGCAGGGCACTCGGAGAAAGGCAGAGATGACTCGCGTTGGACCGATCCGCGTAGCGTGTCATCTAAGCACGTAATAATGTCAGTCTCGTGCCTCCAAAAGAGAATTCTCTATCCATTCAGGAAAGGGAGGTAAAAATTGGATTCGATTGGCTTCGAAGCTGTCATGCTGGAATTCTTACTGCAAAGGCACTCGATCTCAAGCGCTGTCTCCAAAACAAACTATTTAGCTATCTTTAGTTCTTACCAAAATGTTTACTCTCTCCACAAAGGGCAAACAGCTGAACCGATACCTGCTCTCTCTTTTTTCCAAGCGCTAGCTCATCTGCAGAGAAAGCAAAATTCCTGGAAGCTATCTGCCAAACGTTCCAGAGGTGCCTGGAGTAAAAGAGTAAGTGAAGTGGGACCATAGGAAATACAGGGAAGGAGGAGACTAAGGTGCGTGTGGGGTGTTGGTGGGAGATTGTGGTGCCACTGGGGTAACGTCTTTCAGCTTTCCTGTGTGAAACGAATTAATGTTATGTTTCACCATAAAAGTAATTGTCTCCTCTAATACCCTAATAAGACATCCTTCAGTCTTACGAGCACTGGTTGGTTAGGTCTTCTAGACTTTTGAACTTGAAAAAAACCCGTACTACGCCACGCTGTGGACAGAAGGTAGGGTTCCGTGGGGACGGAGCTGGCTGAGGTGACCCAGCAGCGCTCTCGTGTCCCGGACAAAAGTCATCCAATGCCTGTTTGAAAACAGAAAAGCCAGGAGCCCGAGAGGCAGATTGCTCGGGGTAAAGGGCTAGCGAACTGGGCTTGGTGATTAAGGGCCGCTGTGGAGCAGCTCACTGGCGTTTCAGAAAACATTCTGATGCTCCTGAAAACAGGTACGGGCATTTTCCATCCTTCAGTTACTAAAAGGGTGGGAAACTGGTTTCATCTACCGGTTTCTGGAAAGCTCCAGCCCAGGATCAGTCTCACCGTGCCATCCCTCAGGTGGGATGGCCAACACGCGACTGCCCTCTGCGTCGAACTTGCCCGGACGCGGACGCGGACGCTTTGCACAGCTTGCCCTCTGGCAACCTGCCGTCTGACGCTGGTTGCCGCTACCCCCGGCGCGTTGCCGTAGGGTGTTCACAAGCCAGCCCCGGGTGTCCCGCGAGCAAACATGTCGAGCTGGGAACACTATGCAGCCGCTTCATTGCGTGCAAAGAAATAAACCAGCAAAACTACTAGCGTTAACGGAAGACTTCTGTAGAGCTATGGGAATACTGTGAAGGTAAAACAGTGTAGTCCAGCTTACTGCAGAGGAAGCACGTCTTGTGAAAACTCCTTCCGTTGCACTGGATTTCCTCCGCGTGGTACACTGTCTTTTCACAGGCACCGCATTTGGCTCCACCTCCCCAGTTCGGCATCCTTGTATCTGAAGGGTAACCTGGAAAAATAAATTACATACATAAATACAACAGCACAAGTGAATTACTTTAAACAGAACAGCTTGATTTTTTTTTTTTTTAATTATTTCCCCCCCCTCCAGTCAACTGCTGTTGCATACCTGCAGCATACCGCATACCTGTGCGGTAGCAGGAACGTATCCTATCCATGGGTGAGGGTGCTGGCCTGGTGCTTCGGGGGGCAGAAGCAGTCTAAATGCTCTGTCCTGCGCAACCCTCTTTTGTAAATAAGGATATTCCTTAGCTCAGCATATTGTGATGGTAAATATGTGAAATGACTGTGAGGCGTTTCAGTAAAAAAAACGCCATGACCACTCAAACCTCTTCTGGAGAAGTGGATCTAGGATTTATTTGCCAACAAATAGTCCTTGTCTTTGAATCCTGCCCTCCCCTGTATCCCAGCGTAGCCTTTTCCCCTTAGTTTTTGCTTTTTGTTTGTGTCGATCTGGTTTTGCGAGGCGAATTTTCATGGAGGTGAACAAAGACTTTTGAAAACTGACTGGAGTTTAAGCAGAAGTGTGGGCAGGATTTGGCGTTACATTTTCTACAGAGCAGTATTCTACCTAGTGAAGAGACAGCACGTAGTACTGCTTGTACCTCCCCAAAGCAGTGCGAGTTCATCCCGTGCCACGTGAGCTTCCTCGGTGACACGTGTGAAGGCAATTTTCTGTGTCAGGATGATAGCAGTTTATACAAGTCATACCTGGATAATTCCACCTTGATGTTTAACAAGCGTACGATGCTTTTTTACAGGACACTCTAACAGAAACAAGTTGTTATTGCTTTGCTGAGTTTCCCCTAAGACAGCTGCAAGATCACTGTGCCGCACAGCCGTTATAAAGTAATAACAGATAGGTTCCCAAGGTGCTTAAGGTGTATTTTTCTTTGTCTGTGTGTTCTAAAATCTAAACATCTGAGGAAGAAAAGAGCATAGTGCTTCCTGTTCCAGTTCTTGCTGTTCCAGTTGCTGTTGAAGTGACTTGCCCAAGGTCACGCAGGAGGGCAGTGTCGGCGCCAGGAGCCCAGCTCGGTCGCCTGACGGCAGGCGCGGTAAGTGCCCTCCGGATGATTGCGCTGTCACGCATCTGAATCCGCCCCAACCTACGGTTTGCCCTTCTGTTTTCTTGTCTGAGTCATCGTTTCTGGAAAGACCGGGACGTCATCTTGTCATCTGCACATCGTATTATCGGGTTGTTCCACGCTCCTGGCGCACGCCTGCCTTCTCCTTCTTGGAAATCCAGTCACCTTCTTATTATAGTTCTTTCGAAACCTGCCCGTGCTATTTGTGTTTGATGAAATTCACCATGAAATATTCTGAACTAAGCAAAGGATTTTGCACGCTGCATCAGGCCTGCTACCTGAGAATTTTCTTCTGAGGCCGAGAGAGAGAGGGGGGAATTGATCACAGCAGTGGTGTAACGGAGCTGGTACTTTAAATGCCGTGCATCTTAGACTGACGTTTTACTGTGTCTGTACACTGGACTCTGAGGTCCCATGTTTGTCGTCATCTCGGTGACTTCTGTGCTGTACCGTCTGAATTTCAGAAGGGAGTGAACAATTTCTCCACGCTGGCTCTGCAAGCTGGACCTGAAGCTGAAGGGAATTCTCTCTGGCCACGAACGCCAAGAATCAGGCAGTTGTACAAAAGACGTGTCTGTCCAGCCAAAGGAAGACAGCACAGGAGTGTGAGCACATGCTGAAGCACTGAAGACGTGTTTTAACGGCACGTTTTAACAACCAGTCTTTACTAACGAGGCAGATATACCCAAAGTCTCCGCTTTAATACTGCGGTTATTAATATATCCTTAATCCTGTATAATTACATCTTCACTGCTGTGACCGTGACCGGCGGTAGACGGCATACCTGCCGTCCTCGTGCAGGATCCAGGCTCTCCTCCTCTTCGCGAGGCTGATGGACGTGAGGCCGAGCAACCCCCCGACTGGGTCAGCCTCGTCCGCCGCCGTCCTACAGCGGCGGCATCGTGGCCCCGTCAGACCCTGCCCCTTCCCGCGGGAGGCTGTTCAGCAGCCACGCTGCTCTGCCGGTCAGAAAACAGTAATGATGCAAAAAGGAAAAGAGAAGTCGGCTTCCCTCTAACGCCCTTTATCCCTGATAATGATATCCCTAACGCGTAAGCAGCAAAAATCTGATGTAGCTGAAATAAGAAACAAAAATGACTGCACGCGAGGAGCGGGCTGTGAATGTGGTCCCTTCTGACTCGGTGAAGGCTTTACTGCATAGCACTGCTAAAATCTTTTTTTTTCCTTTACAACGGGAGATAAAGGAACAGAGAGGAGTCTTTCATGTAGAGTGAGACAATCTTATTGTCTCATTCTGTATTTTCTCCTATTTTAAAATACTTTTGTATTAGTGCCATTTTTTTTCCTCTTATAAAAAGTAGTTCAAGTAATGCTTCAGACCTTTTTAAGGGAAGGAAAGGCGACAGGAGATAAAAATCAGGTTTGTGACACGTTTTTGAAAATTAAAGTGAGATTTTTGTGTTCAGCATTCCCTTTCAAATCAAGTTTCCAGTCATCTCTCGTCCCAGCCGGAGCAGCACCGATAGCTGCCTGGGAGGACGAGAGCGGTTTGTGCCTCCGGTCGCTGTAAAAGTGCTTCTGCTGCGTTAGTGCCCTCCAAGGCGCGCCACGCAGCTCGGTCCGTGGCGGCGGGATGCTTGTCGGAAAGTAGCTCTAATGACATCATCAGCTGAAAGAAAAATCATCTCTGAAAAAGGCTGATACAGTGAACCTTGTGCTGTTACGGGCTGGGGCGAGAGCTCTTAAAAGAACCATTGCTCCTGAGGCTAATTATAGTAACGTGCCTGGGCGTGCATACACATTCTCCATGTTTTTTTGGCATCACCTGATGGGAAGCTGTCAGAGAGAGAAGTCACAGTAAAGACGCTCCCATGAGGATACCGGCGTAAGAACGGCAGCATACGCCGTGACGTCTGCGTTGGCTGCGTGACAGCTGGGTGAGCTACCGGGGCACGTCCGTGCTCTTCGTGTCCTTGCGTTCTTTGTCTCTCCGAATGCCGGACGGCAGTGGCCGTCCCAGCAGCCGTATTACCGTGAGCAAGGACAGCCCCCGGGCTCGATGGCATTCATAGTTTTCTACTCAACTGTGCTGTAATGGTGGATAAATTTGCATCCTTACAATGTGCAAACAGAATCACAGAATCATGAAGGTTGGAGAAGACCTTCGAGATCCTCATGTCCAACCATCAACCCAACACCACCATGTCCAGTAGACCATGTTCCCGAAGTGCCACATCTACACATTTTTTGAACACTTCCAGTGATGGTGACTCCACCACCAAATAGAACTCAGTCTCCTATTTGTCGTAGAAAAAAATTATACCCAAAGTTTGAATTTCGCTTAATTTCATTTGGTGTCAGTATCTAAATCCCCTTGAAATTCCCTCAACTTTGTTTAAATCTGGTTAACTTGCAGTGACTGCTAACCACGTGGTACTTGCTATATTTTGGTGATCTAGTGGGAAGTGGCCCGCTCGAAATGTGTTAACCACGTGACAGAGAAACTTCTGAGTATTAACGTTGCGACGTGTCGGCAGGCGCTCGCGGTGCTGTTAAGCTGGTGGAGCGGTCGTGCTCTGCTAGCGTTCAGCCGCTCGTATCGTTCCTTTTCGAAATGCAGCTGCTATATGGAGTAGAATTTGTGCACCTCAGAGCCAAGGATACGTGCTTCTCGTTATTTAGAGCTTGTAACACTACCCTGTGGGCCAGCCTCAGAGCAAGGGAGCCTTTGGAGACTTTCTCTGCTCTGCACAGGCATGAAAAAATGCGAGCCGTCTCCGGTTGGGCTGTTAGTCATACTGCACAAATCTGGATGTCACGCAACTGTCACGGAGCGTCTCGCTCTAGCCAGAAGCGCTGTCGGTACCAATATAATCCAAAGATGTGTTTAGATCCGTTGGTTTAAATGGGAAGCGGATGCCGTTGGGCCCGACGAAGGTTGGTAGAGGAGTGAAAGGCAGTGCTAGTGCCAGGCAGCGGGGGTGAAAAGACGTTGAAAGTAATTGGGGTGTTTCCTTCTAAATGCTTACGCGTTGGATCGTCCGGAGCTCCCGTCCTGCCCGAATGGCGCGCGGAGGCCGGTGCCTGGCTGGGAGGATCCTCGGGGGGTGCCACGCGTGCTGCAGGGCGGCTTTGAAGGGCAGGAGCAGGGTGGGAAGCGCTGGTCTTGGTGCGGAGCGGTGGAAGTGCCGAACCAGGACTGGTTCAGTTCCAGTCCCCGCTGGCTGTGCGGTCTAGGCTCGCTCGGAAGTATAAGAATACCCATTCCTTACCCAGTAAATAACCACTAATAATACCAATTTAAATCCCTCCATCGAAACGCAAGAATCAAGGCTACGTTCAAAACTCTTTTCCTGGCCGCAGCCTGTGGGAAGCGGCAGCGCCGGCAGGACTTCGCGCCGGGATCCCATGGCAGCCCTGCTGCGGACCTGCGCCGTGCCCGCCAGCCGCTCGCTCCACCGTCCTTACCGTCACTCGCCTCGCCAGCGCCACGGGGTAACCGCGTACGCCTTCCTGTATAAAAGTAGTAATTAAAACGCTGCTGTAGTTTTTTCTGCGACTAACACTCGCCGTGTGACGCGTTCTCGTGGCGCGTTGCGGCGTAAAGCACAACTCCTGCCGCTGCGGCGCAAAAAGCCCGAAGGTTGTGCTTGCCAAAATCCCACCCGCTGCGGAAAGCGGCGTCTCTCAGAGTAGATTCGCAGCAGAGAAAATGTTTATATTTGAAGAGTGAGCTCATTTAATGGAGGATGCAATATTGTTATGTATTTATAATCGTATTTCTTATATCCTCGTGCATTCAGTGGACTATGGATACAGGTAAATTTTAAATTTATTAGTTAGTCTCATACGTTTAGCCTCCACCGCGGTCTCACGATGACCAGCGTTTTTCCTTTATTTTTTCAGTAAACCAATGGTTGGAGATCGAGGGGTG